ACAATTGATTAAAATAGATAACATGATCTATCATGACAGATAGGTATTTCAGTGCATAACAATCATTCCAGTAATTAGCAATAGACTTACCTGGCAGGTGAGTGATTGACAACTGTCAATCAAATGTCACATGCCATGGTGTGAATAACTCATCATATATCTACACTGTTGTACTCTTGGCTACACTGTGATGTAAACAACAGGGCGTATACAGTCAGGGTATTGTGTATTTTCAACTTTTGACTAACCTCTGTAAATTTAAAAAATGTGTTATCTATCAAACAATTACTCTAAATGAAAATAAACAAATAAGACCAATTATCCTAAATCTATTTTTTTGACAATATTTATTGCTTGTCCGTCCATAAACATTTTCACACGGAAATATATACAGATATTACACCACAATGTATGAACTAAATCTTAACCTTACCCTATATTATGACCCAAACAAAAGAATTTCTCTTTAAAAAACACGGTTTCATCTTCAGTGTCATAACCAGCCCCCTTTCCCAAGAACTCCCAACAAGGAAAGGAGTGAAGTTCATGAATACTCCCAATGGCCTGTTAATTGACGAGAATTTCACACTTTATGACTCTACAAATAAACACTGGTGATATATAAGCAGTTGGGGGCTGATTTAGCGCTTGCTATTTTGTGAAGATTGCCCCCTTTCACGCCAGTCGGCCTTGCATATTGACTCAACCCCGTATGACTAGTGCAAGGCACATATTGTAGTTGGTCTCTTGTCGCTCTAGACTTTTAATAACAATTAAAACCATTTAAGACAAAATGAAAGAACTGCACTTAAGTTTGCTGCCCCTTAATGCACATCCATTATTAGGCAGCTGAAATTTGGGCTCGGTTTTCAAGGAATATGGATTTTGTTCAAAGAGGGATTTATAGCAAAGAAAGCAATTTCACGTACGATCAAGAAACTTTGTAGACCTGGAGATTAGTGGAACAATTTTTTAAAAGGTAATTGATTTTTTAAAGGTTCGGGGAATTATTAAGATGCCTATGTGCCTGGAAATGGCAGATGTTTGTAAAATAGACGTCAACTATTGTCCACTCCTGACAGTGGTCATTCGTGTTATTTCCTCAACTATTAACAAGGCAATTTTCGTTCAGGCTGAATTGTTCAATTTGGAGGGGTTTAATAGAAAGAAAATAACAAGGCTAGTCTCTCAAGAATTGAATATGGGCCCCAGCAATTGGAAACATCTAAGATGGGTTGTATGCTGAAACCTTCTCACCAATTAAGTCAACTGATCTGCCCCAAGGGCTATGAAGCATGACGGAGATATTTGGACAAGCCCCTAATCAAAGATGGCTGAATATTGGCCACCCAGCAAGTGAATAAAGGGTTGTTTTGCCCTGATGGCATGACATTGGTTCCTGGGAGGAATTTGCCAGAAAAAAAAGACAGAATTAGATTTATGAAATGATTTAACACCTCAATCATTATCAAACTGTTAAATTCTATAAATATTACATTCAACAAAGTTGTTAGCTTTTTTCGACATAAAATAAATAGCAGCAATTGTTTTTCATGCTTTTGAGCGAATATATCCAAATAAAGAAACACATTTAGTGTGTTAAATTTGTTGTTTTTTCCGTCTAAATTTACATATAGGCAAAAAAAGTTGGTTTAAAGGTGTAATGCAAAAGTAATGAAGTCGAGTGATGCTGATCACCCTGTAACTTTGTAGGTGTGATGTTGAATATGTTTCATGCACAGATAACCCATCAACATTGTGCATGCATACATGCATACAAGACATAACATGACATGGCATGACAATATTCAAATTTCACAAAGTGCACATCCCTCCAGACAAGCGCTACCGTGGCGACGGAATAATTGAGAATTCACATCTGCTTCCTCATCATTGCAACCTAACTTTTTCAAAATCGGAAATTTAATCAGGCAAAACTTCCTACTCCTTCAATGGTTAATTTCCTGGAAGCAGTTTTTTATTAGCAGTTAAAAGTTGCCTTGAAGAAACATAGTTAGATTAATTCAAAGAAATGTTGATTGAAATATCTCTCACCCATCTTGCTGTTAGAACTAAAATAACTTTGACCTATTTCAGGCATCAAGGTGTACTCTCAGGTCCAAAGTTTACTCAAAGCTAAATAATAAATATGTGAAATTATTATTATAGTTGTAGGACATTAACTAAATGAACATCATCAATTTTCATAATATTAATTAGAAAGACAAATTGTATGATTTATATGCCGACAAAGCAGGAACTAGTCTGACATAAATCGTAAGAAGGATCTCTCCCGTGACATTGACATATACTGCTGTTTGACATTCAGAGATCGTAAAACAGTGACAACGCCAGCCACTGGCATATTAAGATCATGATTCATCATCCATCAGATAGAGCTATTATCAACTTCCTTTCTTGACCTCCACCAAGGGGCAGAGAACTCCTAATTTATTTAATACAAATTAATTTGTGATCTTCAAACCCCTATCAAACAGGCCACCATACTTAGTGATTTGATCTGATAAATGTAGGCGAGTTTTACTTGATAAATCAACATGGACTTAACAGGGAGTGTAAAAGAGAGAATGATTAGTGATTTGACTTGGGAAATTGTGATTTATGTGACAAGGTTGATATAGAAAGTGCACAGATAGTGATAGGATATGCAGGTCAAGAGAAATACCTTGGCCCGTGCTATAAACAGCCTCTTAAGCCTATGTGACAAGTTGAACTACGTGGAAAGCATGGACGAGCACCTGCACCTGTGACAATGTAACCCCAGGGAGATTTTGTTCCGGCTGATAAAATTAGCAGTACATAATTAATGGAATAAATTGTCCCACTCAGTAGTTTTTGTGAATGATCCAAATGCTGCTGTTTATATTCCAGTACTACAGTGAGTTGATTAATTCAGCAATTCACAGAAAAAGTGGAAAAATAGATGAAAAAAAGAAAATTAATATACATATACACATAGCATGTGGTGACAGATGATACTCCTATCTCGGGGAAGCAGGTGGATTAGCGTTATTCATTCTTGGTCACATTTATCTAGAATCCATTGTACAACTCGATGTAATCATCACACAGGAGTAGCTCCAGCCATCACAACACAAACCTCTCCACCGAATGCCATAATGGATGTTTTCACATAAAATTCCAGTCAGATTTTATCCTTTGTCGGTGTTACAGGTCAAGGGTCACATGACTTTGTCACTGGGCAAAGCCATTACCAGCTCTGGTCAAACACAAACATGGTGACCAGGTACGCTGGGAGAGAGGCTGTTATGCAAGAAAAGGGGTTTGTTTGGGCCCTAATCAAATGGATCGTGTATGTTAGTTTGTAAAGAGGATTTCAAACCACTGTGTGGAGAATGGTGGCCAAACACTCACCAAACACTTTTGCCCTAGTGGGCATCTATGATAAGACTACCCTTGAATGGCCGACATACCAGATCCTTCTTGTTCAAATACCTAACACTGTTCTAATTCACAACTAAAACCGTACAGAAAATAGGCAGAAATAATGCAAATGTATTCAACTTTCAATCATTCTGTTTGAGGGAAAAAAATAAAAAATCGAGCTACGGCATATTTGTAATTCCATACTACTGTAGCATCATGGGAATGTTCTTACCAAGTGAACTTCGCGGTGGGAGACATGTCTGAGAACATGTAGATTGTACTCTGCTGAAAACAGATTGTACATGTCATTGCCATATTTCCTCCTTAATGCTTAATACATCATTCTGTACACATTGTGCATGTCAACAGATGCAACCATTTCCGTATCAATTCTCTTGGCATGTCGTAAATAAATTATCAAGTTGTCAAATATTCCTAGTGTTTTTTACAGAATTGATGTTGCTCCACAACTTATGAAAAGATGCAACTGCAATGTCAATCTAAAAACTCTGCCAAATGGAATATTCGAATCGACTCCCATTACTGATTAATGAAGCCCCAAATAGGTATTTCTATCATCCTTGAAGCTGGTGTATGTATATACTTATCTATATATCTACTTTCAAAAGCAGTAGATCAATAATGGTTTGACCTTTTATACTGTATTCCTAAAACCTGTTTGTTATTTAGAAGCATACTAAAAAATTCATGGACCTTGAAGTCTCCATGTGGCAATGTTCTTGTGGAATGTGTACCAATACCACACCAACCATGGCAACGACCTTCATTAATTAATCATGCAATTATACGTGTCAAACCTGCTGATAATTATGTTACTAATGAAGTACCTTGATCCTGGTTGGTCACAGTTGGTATGTAAATCAGCCAGCGGGTAGCACTGCCACCCGTGGCGGAGTCATGCATTTACGACAGAAATAGTGAGAACAAGGTTAAACTGCACTGACTCAGGGCACCTACCGTAGTTAAACCGTAAACACTAGATCATAGCCATGTTGCAATATAACACTACCTGGTTTTATCAGTCAAAATATATCATTAATCTTGGTAAGATGGGACATTTGGCTGTACACTCCTTCTAATGACACCCACTGCTAGTGTTGTAGAGTATTTAAGTCAGTAAAACAATCCACGGACAAACCCCAGCCAATAGATAACATTTAAAATTATTTAAGAGGAGCAGGGTTAGACATGCTTTAATACTAGTTCACCAGAAATAAGGATTAGTTTGTTATCTTCTAAAATCAATGTTACAAAACCACTAGCCCCAGATGAGCTGTCGTCAAGTTGGAGGGTGTCTACCTATGAGGAGGGACTTCATTGAAAAGCAAACCCCAGGGCCTAAACAAAATAATGTTGTGTTTCTGATTAAGCTTCATTTTTGGAAATTGGAAGGGTGGGAATTTTTTTCTACAACAAAACCCTGCATCTATGTTGGAGAAATACTGTATGGTTAGCATTTTTTGGTATAAAAAGGCCTCTTTTTTTTTGTCACGAATAGTAGTACACTGAAAAAAAACCAAATTGTCGGGACCACACCAGTTGTTAGTCTTTGACAGATTTCTGGCACTTACCAACAACAATTAGTGTGTAGTTAATGTTGATATGTCCAAAGCCGTTGGTTGCTTTACAAAGGTAATTTCCAGCATCGTTCATTTGTACTTCTTTTATCCTGAGCTGCCCATCGGGTGTGACCTTGAAGCGTGTCTCTCCGGGAGGGATGTTCTTGCCATCCTTCTTCCACTGGGTTAGTGGCAGTGGGTCTGCCTCCACTGGACACTCAAGGCGTGTGTTTTTACCAAGCTTTGCTATATGCCGTTGGTATGTATTCCCAGATATCTTTGGGGGACCTGTAACAATAACAAAAACAATAAAGTCTTTGAAAGGCAGTTAGGGTGAGTGAGTGAGTATGGTTTTATGCCGCTTTTAGCAATATTCCAGCAATATCACGGCGGGGGACATCAGAAATGGGCTTCACACATTGTACTCATGTCGGGATTCGAACCCGGGTCTTCGGCGTGACGAGCGAACGCTTTAACCACTAGGCTACCCGACCGCCCCTAAAGAAAGGCAGTTAGAAGTGATACACAAAAGAAAGAGAATGTATGGATGTCATCTTCTTTATATACTTACTCCTTCTTCAGGTAAATAATAATAATATATATTTTACAATCAATACATGTTTTCCTGACAGTATAACATGCTTTCCCACAATACATGACATATACTGAACGAAACAAGTTAGGGATAAAGAAAACATTTGAGAATATTCAGATGTAATTGTGTGATTACAAAAAAATGTCCCCCAAAATATTTATGATCTTTTAACTTATTTCGTTCAGTATATAATTAGATACAATATTTCTTTCATATTCTGCCACATATACCTGAAATAATGACAATGAATATTTATGCAAAATGTCTCACTAATATAATGAATAATCATGATTAGTTAAACCCTATCAAGGCAAGGACTCAATATGTTAATACTAGTGTTGTAAAGCTAATCTGAAAGCAAATGAGTGAGGAAACTACTTGCATGACAACTAGTTCTAGGGGCATCAGTACTTGTAGAACAACTACCACAGAGATGAAAGAGTGTAGTATGATGCCACTATGGTGTCTCATTCTGTCCCAACGTTGTAATGTAACGAGTGTTTTCACGGAATTCACCACTAACGGTATCTGACGAGTTCACAAATGACAATGTCTACCTGCCTCAGCATATTACATTAATAGCATATTTATCTCAAAATATTCTCTACGCCTTTTCCATCCCAAATCTCATTGACAATGATTAATTGAGTGTACTACCCTGCATAGACTAGTACACAATAGGCGGTACATAATTACATGCTAATAGCACATGTACCTCAAAATACTCAATGCATTTTCCATCCCAAAACTCATTAAAGATATTAGTTGAGGAAAGCATTCCTGCATAGACTGTAGCAGACAATATGAGTGCTCCTGGAACATTATGCCCTCAACGAAGTTGACACCCTTGCACTACGCTCCACAAAACTCAGACAAAAATACCATATTATATTTCAGTGTTTCTGATCAACGCTACAGTCCCAGGGTGGGAACCCTTCTCATAAATTGTAAAAGGGGATTAGTCTATCGTAGAGATTTCTCCCTCAATTCATTCACATAAAGGACTGAGGCAACAATGGGGGAATATGCAGGTTAATATGTTCAGAAATCTCACTGCAGTTTAAAAAGCGCCCACTGCATGAAGTCTGAACAAAGCTGCCACAGAATATATTAAGTCTGGACATTTCTGTAAACGACGGAAAAAGTCAGCTCATTCATTCATTTTTTGGTGACCCTCATTCACAATGTGAAACATTTTAACCATTGGAGGAAGAATTTTTGCAATTGCCGGCAACTCTCGGAAATGATTCATTTGATCACTGAAAACTACAATTTATGTATTTAAGACACTTTGTAAAAACTAATGATCTAATCATACCTACTTGACAAAGTAGACACAATTTATGGATATCATACATTCTTGATATAAACTCTAAATTATAGCAGTCGATGGATTGTATTGAGACACTCTACATCCTATGACACAGACAGTACATCACTTCTTCCTGACAGTGGTATCCTGATCACTTCTTCCGTCCTGGTTATAATTTCATAAGCGAAACTCCATCGGATCCTCCAATCTGGGCAAGGCAATCTCCCGTACCTAGCACTTATGTGTAATACACTATCGACTGGAAGAGTTGGGGAGAATGTTCGAAACGTCAAGGCCATATTGCTGATTAACATTCAATATTTCATTCTTATAGATTCTTGTAAGATTACTTACAAATTGCTTTCTTATTAACAAGCATCCTCTTAATAATTCAAAAATGCCATAAGGCCAAGTAATTAATCTGACCCAATGGGGAAATAGATTACGTGTTTTTCAGTACTGTTCTGTGTACAGAATTGTTTGCATTAACAAAGTTGAACATCCTGACTTGCAGGGGTATTCAAACTCACTGATATTTTCACAGCACTCAGCAATATTCCAGTTATAGGACAGGGGCCTGTAAACAAATGTGGGCCAGACAAACCAGTGATTGAAGTGAGAAACGATCCAAGTCATCTTGTTACAGTGACAATGCAATCAACCGAATCACCAAGCCTTATGAGGCGATCCATGAAGTTGCTCCCATGACAAGCATTGGTTGACATCCCTGATGGAACAATACATTCAAGCACAGTGCTTTCAATACTCTGGAACATCACTTTTTGATGACATCTTATGAGCAATGTTAGACTAACATCTAGTCTCTGAAATGAACATATTTTCCAGAAAAAAAGTTGTTAAATTATAGTTATAAAATATAATAAAAAGAAGCTCAGGGACTTTCTTCATTTTCATGCAGTAACCTAGACTTGCCAAACATTATAGACTTGCATGGGCTGTATTGGATATATTTGTTTCAGGGTCTGTCTGACAGACTAGAGCAAAGTGATCACCAAGAGGATGGTTCCAGATCACCAACTACTGTTGCCAGAAAAACAGAAATAATTGTTCCATCTGCTTTTGAGTTAAAGCATTTCCCGACTAAAGGGGTTATGTTCTGATACAATGTACCCATTTCATTACTATCGTTAAAATGTTGTAAAGGTCGTGAAGATCTCCCTTGAAATTTACACCCAACAGAGAAAGAAGCCAGCAATGTATCTGGCATTTGTAGACATCACCCAAATATTTTATCTTGTGTAATGTTATTTATGTAATGGCTGTTCAATTGTGTTATCATGGCTGTGTTTCCCAAAACACACCATTTATCAGAGTACAAGTTGCTGCTACAAGACCCGGGTCCATGTGGCGTGTTGAACAATCCACAGACAAGCCCCAGCCCATAGATAACTGTGTAATGGGAAGAAAAAGACACTACATAAATCACAAGAAGCTTGTTTCACCCCCAGCCTTTGGCCTTGTTGTTGGCAACCTTTCCCATCTTCTGTTTGACTCTGACATTTTAACATGGGTGATTGGCCCCAATTGATGCTATTAATTCAATGGAGATGATTCTATCAAGCTTGGGGCCCCATTCCCTCCTAGGAGTATTTTAGGCAAGAGAGTAAGTGTAGTTTACACGATAGAGGAACTATTATTCGGTGAGTGGAAGCAGCTGTGCAGAGAGCTACAGTGGGGCTAGGGCGGTGTGGGACACCTTAGACTAACCTACCTCCCCCTGGAAGAGGGGGACTAAAGGGAGGGCGCACATGTGTAAAACCTCTGGAAAACAATGAAACCATACCATGCCTATGTGGTCTGATTCTAATCTAAACTGTACAATACAATAGGGAAAAACTATATCTTACATTGAAAAAGACTGAAGGTTACACCCACTACTTGTTCCGTGCCAAGGAAGAGGAGTGAGTGAGTGAGTGAACATGGTTTTACGCCGCTTTTAGCAATATTCCAGCAATATCACAGCGGGGGACACCAGAAATGGGCTTCACATATTGTACCCATGTCGGGAATCGAACCCGGGTCTTCGGCGTGATGAGCGAACGCTTTGACCACTAGGCTACCCGACCGCCCCCCGAGGAAGAGGAAGAAGAAACGGGAGATGGTAAAGTACTTATACCATGGTAAAAGTACATTTGTAGAAGTGGAAGCGAAAATGTAAACTACAAGAAAAAATGTTTTTATGTAATTGATAAAGTCTTATAAATTTGTTCTAAATCATTATTTTGTACAATAAATGCTGTCCTTGTATTTGTTTGTATTTAAGTGTAATATTTTGTTATGTTTGGCATGTGATAATGTTAGTCTTGAAATTAGAACCAAATGATTTCCTAACTCCCAACTGTATATACAGATAATGTCCACGTGTTATCTTTTGTGTTGCAGTGTCAAGATTCACCTTAATTATGTTTATTGATATTTTCAGGAATACTGTGTTCGTGTAATTAGCTTTTCTTGAAGAACAATCCTTGTAGCAACATAGCTTTCACGAACATCATTTAACTCATGAAACCCGAGTCAAATGTTGCATTATTTGTCTTGTAACCATCCTCCATGAACAGTCCTTCACTCATGAGAGATGCTCTCAGGCAATGAGGTCCTTGCCATTCACTGGTAACTAGCTTGATAAATTTTGCCAATTAGCCAAACATTTTCCTCCCAAGTTTGTAGCAAAACGCTGACATTCTGTGCCCATCTGTCGCTACTACAAGTGTGTGGACTGACAGACGGACACACAACTCCACAGACTCTCGAAAAATAACAGATCACCGTTACTAAAGCCAGCCCAGCTAGCAATGCGAGCTACCAGATGGTTGCTGCGAAAAAACACAGGATGAAAATGTCGACTCGAAAACTTCCCCCATGTTTTTGTTATGTCAAGAGTGGGATAACAACCAACGATGGATATCTCATGGAAAGGCGTCTAGTGTAGTCGACTGCTCTACCTCACAATCCACTTCTAAACAGCTCTTAGGAAAATATCACAAGAATAGCTAGCACTTGGTTTCATTTTAGAATAAATAGTTGTGACCCAAATGTCTTGGAGAAATGTGTGATTTAAAATTTGTGAAATTTATAGTGTTCAACAGAACACAGTCGACAATCTCGCATTGAAAATGTTTGGTATATCTACAATAAATCTGTTATGTACACTCAGTCAGGTGACCTGTCGACCTGTCACATGACCAAAGCACATGCAACTAGTTATAAAGATGAATGATGAACCAAATTGTTCACAGAAGTCAGCTCTGGAAAGATGCAAGCTCCTAATCTACAGAAACAGATCAACACAGATTTCCATACAACTATTTGGAACAACTTAGGCTTATCTGATAATACTTTCCTTTAAACTACCTCTTTTTA